ACTGCTGCCTTGTAGTTTCACCTGGAATATGCTCATAACAAAACAAGTAGTACATAATTGTATTTTTCAGAATCCCATGGCAGATTTCAATTATAATTTGTTGAAACCATTTTCCTTCGTAAAGGAAATTTGGTATCGGTCAAGATAACAAAGACACTGATATTGTATCGCATAAACCAGTGATGATGACTGGAATTGTTACCTGAACATTTTCTTCTCCTTCTCCCAAGGCACTGTTAACATTCAGAAGAGAAGACACGTTATAGAGAAAGGAAAGATAAAAATAAAAAATAAAAAATAGCAAAATAGTGACCGGGTCAGTGTTTAGCAAAGCCATACCATCACATTCGGTAGTAGAAACAGCTTTACTAGATTCTCAGGTTGGTAATGGCAATCCTCTGGAAGCTTTGTTTGGCAAGGGGCTCTACTTGCTGGGAGAAGTAAAGTCTTTGGGTTTTTTGGAGGGGCAAAGATATCAGGTATTTCTTCCTCCAAAGCTTTTGTAAAATCTAGTTCAGGCTCTGTTTGCTTTTTTTTCCTGGTTTTCTTTGCTGGTGGAGGAGATCCATTTTCTGAAGTAGGAGGATCACCTGGACCTGCAAAAGAGTCCATAGAATGTAAGCCCTCACAGAAACTAGATAACCAAGAGGACTTATTTTATCGCTTGACATTGGACATATAAGTGCATACCTTTTGTTTTGCGATACTTCCAGTGATCAGGACCTGCCCAAGAATTTTGCTTAGATGAAATTCCCAAAGACAAAAAGAGATAGTCATCAACATTCTCAAATCTGTCATCTGAATCGAGGTCTTGGAGTGAGGCTGGTTCAACTTCCTGCATAGTGAAAACGTCAGCATCATGTTTTTGATACCAAAGAAGATGCATCTTGTCGACCAAAAAAAAAAGAAGATGCATCTTAAAACAAGTGAACATTAGAACTTAGAAGAGTGATGTATAACCTCGTGGAAATTAGAATATGCTGGTTCTGCATCATTGAGGCCGAAGTTTTCATCAACATCACCAGATGGACCCTCATTATCAAACGAAGTACCAAAGTTCTCATATCCGTCATCATCGTCAGCATAGCTGGCTTCATTACTATGTGAAATATCAAATGACTCGGTTGTCTTCTGACCACAGGAAAATGTATCAGTTGGTCGTTGATTCTCTTCATCAAATTGATTGATTATAGTCCGAAGAGATGGTACAATCTCATCTTTCTTTCGCATGTTTAGCACCATTTGCTCCACACATTCTACAAATTTAACCAAGACATCAGAGTGAGAATAACGCAACAAATCCTGTCAGTGGTACAGCGAGGCATATTATCCAATAATAAAGCCAAACCTTTAGCAAAGGATAGATCAATTGTTTCTGTTTTGTCATGCTGATTGGCAGACGAAACAAGCTTTCCAGGGCATTCTTGCGAATCAAACAGAACTTGACACCCACCATAGACTCCTAAATTGTTTAGCAGCAGACCCTTCGCTCCACCTTCATCAAATTGTGCTGAAGTCTGATGATAAAGGGGATCCACTGCAAATGCGACTGAAGAAAAGACAATATTATCATGTAGAACTTACTTTTCACAAATGAACAAAGGGAGTTAACTTAAGTTAAGTTAAGCAATTACCATCGAACTTCTTCACGTTGAGGGAGTCAAAGGTTGGTTCCAGTGTTGCTAAAGGCGATGTCTGCAAGTTCGAAACTCATCAATAACTAGTTTCAGCTACTATATCCAGAACTGGGATTTCTGTATGAACTACCTTTTTCTCTGTCTGTTTCTTTTGATTAGTTTCAGTTACAGCACCAGCAGCAGCATCCTCATTATCTAGGTTGATCAAGAAATATCAGGAAAGAACATAAGAAACAAAAATTACTTGCAGGTACTTTATACCAATTTGTGCTGTAGAAAAACAGAAATTCTATGCATTTCATAGCCAATAAGTATAATTCTTCAGATTCCCATTTATGAATCCCAAGACATAGTGTGACTAACCAAATTAAGCAAAATCAGTGAATAAACATCTCCACAAGGCATATGTATTTGTTGACTATTAAAAGCTTACACTAGCAGACTTAACCAAGTACTAAAGAAAATATATTTTCTTGTGTAAGATATCAATCTAACCTCCACTGTCATCTTGGCCAGCTCGAGTAATTCCACCCAAGACCTTGTATGCTTCTGAATGAACCGAGTCTACTCTCATTGAGTAAATCTTAACTCCAGCTTCAAGAGTGCAACTTGCCTGACTTGGAAAGAGAGCAAATATTTCTTAAACATGAACATCACCTCAAAGAAGAATGAAATCGGAAGCTTACCTTTTGAAAATTTGTTTCCGCATTGTTCTCATCTTCAACTTTAATTATCTCACAAAGATGGTCAATCAAATTCAAATCCCACGTATTCTTCTGATTGATTTTCTGTTAAAACACAAAACCCACAAAACACAATGAAAAACATCCACCAAACCAGACCCACTAATCAAAATTCCCAGAGCATCACATATGTAACAGAAATTAAACACCCAGAAAACGTAAGAGAACGCAAGTCTATACAGAGACTACACTGACTAAAGACTTACTATTCCTCTAAATCATAAGTTTCAATCCGTAGCCTTTACCCACGAATTTTCCACTTGTTATGATTATGGGGGGAAAAAAAAAGTATACAAAAAGACAATTACTTACGTTTTCACTGGCCAATTTGATACAGTTCTGGAACAACTCGAGAATCTGTTGCTTATCAAAACACGGATCTGACTCCTTCTCAGGCTGTGGCCCACGAGCGAAAATGATAGACTTACGACGGCTAGCAGCCACTCTAGCAGCCCGAGCTTGTTCCCGTTCCAGCCTGTCGTCGTTAGATCCCAAGAAGAAAGGACTTGTCGGAGCCTGGATTCGAGTCGTCGCCGTCGAAATTGGCCTTTGCTTAGGGTTTGGAGTTAGAGCTTCATCCATGGCAGATGAAGTTCCCGACTAGAGAGAAAAGGTCGGGATGCAGAAATCAGAGACCGTACGCTTTGGTCTAAGAGAGGACGAAAATCTGTCCGTTGGGTTCACCAAGAGCGTTGTGGATCGAGAATTCAAGTAATTTGGGAATTAGGGGTTGTGATTTTCCCTCCACTCTGTTGTTTTGAAATTTCAGTGACAATGTTGACTGTGTGTATTTACATAATTACCCCGGAGTTAAATCGTAATATTCCACGTCATCACTCTAGTATTCGGATTCGATTCGGCTGAACTTGGTTATGAGTAAACCGATATCTTGTTGTTAACTGATTTGACCAAAATCAAAAGTGTTCGAATGGCTTTAACCGCCTAAAGAGGACCGAGATTTAAACAGTTCCAATGCAAAAAAAAAAAAGAAAACGACTTGTAAGTAACAGATAATCAAAACACATTACGAGAGTCAAGTACATCTGTCGAGATCTGCTTTAAGAATTTATGTCAAAAACAGAGATTTTTTTAAGTCAAAGAGCCATACTCTCAAGATTAAACCGAAATATCGAGGACTGTGTCTTGACTGTTTTTAGTTTGATTCCAACGCCGCTAGTTTTCACTATCACATGTTAGGTTGTCCGAAAGCAGCTGGTGGTGGAGGTGGTGGCATGGGCCTGAAACCATTACCCATA